ACAAATCTGACAGATCTTGTAGGTTTGTGGATCTTCTGTTTAACATCCAACTGTGGAACCTTAAACTCCATCAGAAAATAAAACTCACAAGATGGAGTCAGAATCACCGAGGAGTCGAAACGTTGATGGTTTTTAGTCTTCAGAACAAAAACGAGCTTCAGTTTTCCAGTGTAGAAAATGTCTCTGACAAAGGACGGACAGAAAGTACTGACCTCTGAGGGGGGCAGGGGTTTGGAACCTTAAAGAGGAGGAACTCTGTCAAACAAACCACCATCTCCCTCAAAAAACACAACAACAAAACTCACCACAACAAAACTCACAACAACAAAACTCAGAAAAACAAAAGGGGGACTTAAGTTAATCTGCTGTTTTGGGAGCATAAAGTCTTTAACGTGACTCCTCCTCCTCTTTCACGTGACTCCTCCTCCTCTTCTTCTTTAACTGTAGAGAGTAAAACTGTTCTGTGGTTCTCAGCGGCGCCACCGTCAGGCTGCTGTGGGTGTGAGCAGAAGGTGGTGCTGTTGAAAACTGAAAACCAGTGTCTCTGTGGATGCAACAGTCGCTCCGTCCCGTTCATTAAGTTTTAAATCTACACTAAAGTTCAAAAGTCACAGGTCGGGTCACATTTTCTTAGTGTTTTGTCGTTTTGAATCATATTTAGTGTTTTTTACCCAAACAAATGTCAGTTTGTGTCTTTTTACAGTTTCAGGATCAGTTTGGTTATAAACAGAGACACCAGGACATTTCTGTAAAACTGGGACATACGAGTGGTTTTGTTTAGATGTGCTGGGATGGGGGACACAGGCTCAGGACGGGTCTGCAGGGACGTCTGCTCGCTGTAGTTTTGTACTTTTACTTTTGTACTCGGATACTTTAAAGTCACATAGACCCGCTGGTGCAAGCGACTGTTGCATCCCTGAGCTCTGCGCTCGCTTGTAGTCTGACGCCGCTCTGACTCTGCTGCCTGTGTCTGTTTTAACCCCCTGCTGCTCTCCTCGTGCGCTCTCCTCGTGCACTCTCCTCTCGTGCACGCCCCTCGTGCACTCTCCCCTCGTGCGCAGCCAGCGGAGGCTCGTCTCTGCTGAACCTGGACTTCTTTGGTCCGGTGGAGGACTCCGAGAGCGGAGCCAGTTCTATCCCAGGTCTAACCCTCTCACACTCAGAGCTGCACGCCGCCTCTGTCATCCTCTATCATCCTCTATCATCCTCTGCACTGACCTCACGCTGCCCGGGGGTGCTCTACACGTACCACTATGGTGGAATGTTCAGCGGTTACCATGGAGACGCAGCACACATCAGCAAACACTGACAGAAAGTTTGAAGATCATCTGAAAATGTGATTTAAAGAGCATATTGTCATTTCCCTGTGCTGAGTCTGAGCGTTCATGGTTCTGTTTAGGAGTTTGAGTTCACACCAAAAAGTGAAAAACAGAAAAAGCATCTCACCCCCGGGGAGCACGGACGACGTCAGCTGTAAAGGATCAGGGCTACACGACCACACAAACGTCTGGACACTTTTTCATTTGTGTCTCTTCTTTATTTCCATGATTATTTACTTTATAGAAGCATCAGATTAAACACGCAGCAGCTCAAACACATCACAGAAGAACACTGAGGTCAGGTTTGTCCAGATGTCCACAAAACAAACGATGGACCTTCTGAGGATTTGAATATAGAATAAAAGTAATCTTACATTTTCTTCCGTTCCTACATGGATCCATCTTAACCCTCTGACGTCCTGTGTGTCTAAAATATATAAAGTTTACACAAAGAAAAACCAGGTGGAGTGAGGAGTCCAGACTTTTGACTGGTCGTGTAGCTCCCACCCACCTTTAACTCTGCTCTCTTTAATCTGTTTTCTCATTTCATTCTGATTGTCTCATTAAAAAGAACTAACAGTAAAAGTAATTCATCATAAGATTTTAATAAAAGTTTGTGTTTGCATCACGAGCTCCAAGAGTAGATGTCTGGAGATGGGCCACACGCTCACTCGTATTTTTGAGCAGAAAAATAATTTGATCATTTGATGGAACTAAACATTTAATGATAAAAAAATAAAATAAGTTCAGCGAAACAATGAACATTTACACTAAAAATCTAAGTTAGGATCAAATAAAAGACTCGTTGAGTTTGTGTCGATAACAAAGACTGAAGCTCTTTGACTTTACAGATCAATAAAACTGTACGATGGAGTGTGTTCCCCCTCTACTGGGCAAATCTGTGAACTGCAGGTTCCACTCTTCACTCTGGAGCTCATTCAGAACTCAAAAAAAAACCTCTCATGACTTAAAACTCAAAGTGCCTGTGACGGGTCGGGTAACTAATAAAAACAAAAACAAAAAAACACTTTTCAATCCTTTCTCCAGTTAAAATGGGACGTCCTGGTTGTAAATCACGACATGACGCTGGGGAATTCCACAACTGCCAACTCCTCTAATGTCCCAGATTATTTTATGACAAATAAAAATGTAAGAAAACACCTTTTATTAAAAAAAAAAAA